GCTTGCCCTTTCAGCCGGAGAGCGTTATAATGTTACCGTCAATCCCACTATTCGTTAGTAAAATAGTAGCCCAAGAGTTGGCGGTGGGTGGTGATGAGTAGCTGCCTTCCCTCTAGTCTTACACTGCTAAATTAGGGACGGGTAGCGCAGATAGCCCTCGTGTAGCTTTGCGCGAAATCTATAACAAGCAAACAAACCAGTGCACCATTTCTTTGATGGATATATCTGTTGCCATTTTCCGAACTAAATTCAATTCAACTCTTTTTAAGAGTAAATAATTTTAATTTAGCTTCTCAGATTCCTATTTTTTTGTCCTGTTTTTTTTTTAATTCTCCAACATTCTGTGATTCATATTTTTCAACCCGTTGTTTATTGCCGTTTCCCAAACTTTTTTAATTCTCAGATTTGTATTTTTCTTCCCATGTTTGTGTTGAAAAAGAGTATTTGGTAGAAAACCTCGGCATATTGTTTATTCAGTAAGTGAGAATTTTGAAAAAAATTATACTTTTCTATAGACCTTCAGACAGAAGAATTATTGGGCTTAAGGGCAAAACTATAGGGCAAAAAATTGGCCAAAATGTTTTTGATAAATCTAAAAAATAATACCCAGCTTCTTTCCTCTTGGAGCTATGACGGTCACACACACACAGACAGGTGCTTTTATTATTATAGACTTGAATTGGTTTGCCAAACATATAATATAACTTTTAATATATTTCCAGCTTCAGAATTTTCTAAATATTTCTTTTTCTTAAATAAGGTCCCCCCTTGATTCACAGAGGCCTCGATGTACCAGTCAAGCGTCTCCATTATCATAATTATTTCTATAGTTACCCCAATGCACCATTTCTTTAATTGATTTGTCTGTTGCCATTTCCCGAACTTCATTCAATTCAACTCTTTTTAAAAGTAAATAGTTTCAATTTAGCTTTTTCTAAGTTGATTACTTTGTTGTTTTTTTCCCTTGTTAACTAGATTCTCGAATTTTTAACCAATTTCTTTTGTTCTTAATCTTTTTCATAATTATTATACATAATACTTTTTCACACCGTCCAATCCACTTCGATTTCTCTCACGGTCAGAAAATGTAAATGATGAACTTTTTTGTTTGTTGTTTAGCAATAACATTATTTTCTTTTTTAACTAAGAGTTTTTAAAAGTTTTCGTTCTCCCTTCTGTAAAACCATTTCTCATCGTCGGTATTACAACTCATTTTATCAGTTTCGATGTAATTTTAATTCGCTTACATTTCATTAAGAAATCTAATTGCAATAAGCTCTTCAGCTTCTTCCTTTATCTCTAGATAGCACCCATTGGCACAGCGGTATGTCTCCGGACTTACAACACTAGAAGCCGGGTTTCGATACCCGTGGTGGGCAAGCACAGATAGCCCATTGTGTAGCTTTGTGCTTAATTACAAATAAAACAATTGTCTCTAGGTAGAAAGTATCATGGATAAAGAACTGTGGAAGAGATTAAGTATAAAAGTATTCTTAGTTACTTATGTAAAAATTACAAACAAAAAGGGGGAGGGTTACGTGAGACTGACTAACAGATTATAACTTCTATTCGATCACTTGAAGTCGTAATTTACGTGTTTTTTATATATATTTTTACAGAATATCATGCATCTTCATACATTTAGTTACAATTCATTATTGTTTGTAGCTCCTGCGTGCGGATCATGTATGTGTTTTCATAATTACTAGGGGGTAAACTCGTGCTTCGCGTACGAAAAATGTTTTTGGTTGTGGTATTTTGTGTTTGAATTCACAAAGTTTATAAAAGTAATTAAAGCAGTTAAGTGACCTGCCAAGACTACTCACGTATGAGATTAGGTACGTAGAGTTCTTAACGTATCTGATGACCGAATCTCATTGACTGCGAGATTAAACTAAATGGGTTAAACCAATTCCACAAGTGATACCCGCCAAATACCTTTAATACTAAAGACACTTCGAGCCGAATGGTCTGATGAAAAATGACAATCCTAGTTACTTATCCAGTAAGAGACATCAGATCTAACGACGCTTTCAAAACATGAGGGAGCAAATATTAAAACTCAACAAGGTGAAGACACCAATACTCTAACAAGCCACAGTACTATTTACATCCATCCCTCTCTTACGCATATGGTAACGTTGTGTATACTCCCCCTACTTCTAATTTTATTTTTGAGATATATATAGTTCAATGAAGTTTAAAAAGCTTCCCACGTAACGCGCACACACACCACTCTTTTAATTATTTGGATTTCCAGCATTGTGTTTCTTAGCAGTGTTTAAGATTTGAGACAGGTTGCTCCCCGTGGTTCAGCGACAAGCTTGAAGGCGCAACGCAGACATATCATTATGTATCTTTGAGTTTTACAACAAACAAGCGATTTGAACATCTTCAGCAAAACTATGAGAAAGCTGAATTCGAAACTCTAAGAAAAACTATGAAGAGGTATCACTAGAAGTATCCCAAAGAACATCTATACAAACTTTGGTAAAAGTTCAACCTAATGATTAAGACCTAAAAAGATAAGACAAAATCTTGAACATTTAATAAGCACTGTAATTGGTTACCAATTACTTCAGCTCGTTCTTATTGGTCCAACGAGAACGTTCCATGTTTCTAATACAGTGTAACGAACAGTTCTTTCCCTATCTTAAAATGCCGTGACATAAACATGAAGTAAATAGAATAATAAAGCAAGTTAATAGAAATATAAATTTTAGGTCATAACCTAAAGCCAAAAAAATATTTCGATACCTGAATCACTTCCTAAGTTAGTTGCTCAGCCAGAATTATATTTTACTACTGAAGCTACTTGTTAATAATCAACTACCAGGTCATAATTCAGTGACCGACGTAAACCACCAGTCTATAACACAATCAGTAACACACATACTAACGCATACAATTTCTTACAAAGAAATAATTTTATCGCGAGCAAACGTGAAAGAATTTGTTTGTTTGTTTTGTAATCAAGCACAAAGCTGCACAATGAGCTATCTGTTCTCTGTCCACCACGAGTATCGAAAACCGGTTTCTAGCGTTGTAAGTCCGCAGACATACCGCTGTGCCACTAGGGGCGTTATGGAAAAAGCTTTTGATGAGTGATTTATATCAAATAACTGATAAAGATTTTATGAATCAAGAACATTTAGACATAAAAGTTAAAACAGACGCAATCCACATTAGTTTTTAATCGAATACAATCTTCTCTGCCTAGTAAACTATCTTTTAAACAAGTATTTAGGTACAGTTACATATAACTGAGGTCAAGAGATGCTTATAGCATCTGGAGTCGGTATAACATCTTGGAAGATGAAGATCAGGATGAAGTTCTTTATCAGCTAGTAGGAGAAGGATCCCTCAGTTCAAACACTTTATAATTTCCAAAAGTATCAAAATAGAAACATTGACATTTATCCCTGGAACCGTTCTCTGTCTAACCTACAAGCTAGGCTCTAGTGAGTGTAGTTACAGAATTGTGTCAATGGATAGTCCTGTGGGTGCTAGGAGAAGGAAACAACAAATTGTTATTTTCAAAATTGTGTCAGTAGTTATACAATCTTTAAAAAAAAGCTTCAACTAATCACCTACAGTTTGACAGAAAAAAGTGCGAAGAGCATAATGGCTAACGTTGCATACGATGGATAATAAAGATCAAGGAGACAACAAAAGGAAAACAGCAAACTGAAAAAGAAACGTACAATTGAACTGGTGAATATGATTTAAAAATCAAGTCATTAAAGCATTATAGGAAGCAGTATAAAAGTCTAAAATTGTAAACTGTGATAATAACAGCTTAATAGCCAGAAAATGATCACCTGGGAATGTTTTATAAGAGTACAATGATAATTTTCATTCATGAAATGCATGTTTAGAGATATGAAGACATTAATATTTTCATGTAATAAAAGCTAATATGGACTTTTCACTTTGTTTATCAAGATATGCAATTTAAGAAAATAAATAAGAGAGGCTGTGCGAAGAGGTACATGTATATTTCATGAATAAACTTTTGAACTATGAATCATCAACTTTAAAAGTACTACTACTACATTGCAATATACTGTGTTGCGAATAAAAGTGAAAGAAATTTTAAAACGGAATTTTAAATAAATGGTTTAAAATAAAATACTTCAAAAGATATAAGGCTAAGATTTTGTTACTGATTTATTTCTTTGCTACTAAATGAACAACAGAGATGAAATTATAATATATTTTAATTCATATTTGTTTGTATGAACGTGTTGGGAAATTATTGAAACGCATTACCACGATCGATCATTATTTTATTAGCCTATGCACCATAAAATAATAAACTCATAATATTGGAACTTAATAATTTAGAGACTTGGAGAATTAAAACTTGATACTTTTGGATGAATATACAGAATAATTTGCCGAATTTTACTTTTCACTAAGAAATATAAAGGTTATTTATCTCAAATCAATAACAAGTTTACCTGTGCTCATTCTTCTTAACCAGTAATCTTGACTCAAACTAAATAACAGGCTAATTCTATAAACGTTTACTTTCTTCGAATTTTTTGTATAAACTCTCCAGATTTCTTATAATCCTTCAGACATTTTACCAATTCCCTAACACACACTTACACAGTCTAAAATCGTCCTTCTTGACTTTATTGTTATTTGTAATTTATTTCAGGCACAGCTATTCTGTAAAAACTGCTTCTCCCTAAGCTGTAAGGTAATGCTTTGAAAGCTTGTCAAATGTCTTTCCTTTTCACTATCTATAATGATGACGTGAAGAAGTCCTTTGGTTAATTGTGTTCATTAATCAGGGCTGTCACTAACTCTGATAATTTTTCTTCAGGATTTTGATCCTTTGAAATCTCTTCTATAACATAAGTTTTAGTTTATTTCTTCCCATTAACTGTTCTGAATCAAATCTGGATTTGTTATTGTTCCTGTAATGACTCTTAGTTGTAACATACTTGACTATATCACCTTAATATAAACTCAGTAGACTTATAAGTACTGACAACACACACTATCTCTTTATCTTTTCAGTGACCGAGTTCAGCTTCTCGTGGATAGGATTAATCATTAACAACTTTGAACGGAAAGTACATTAACTAAACAATAATACTGAACACTATGAATTACAACACCAGAAACAACGTATTCAGTGATCAGTTTGCAATGAATCATCAGTTTGGTAATTTTGCTGTTAACGAGATTTTTGGTTTTAACCACAAAAATTTCCCACTAAATTGTCGCCAAAAACGCACTCGACACTTTGTGGCTGAGATACGCTAAGAGCGACGGTAAATTCCCACTATCCGGTTAGACAAGAGTAGCCCAAAGAATTGACAGTGGATTCTGTTGACTAGCTGCCTTTCAATGTACCAATTCAAAATAAGGGACGGCTATGCGCAAATAACCCTTTAGTAGCTCTGCGCAAAAAAAAAGATCGAAACACACAATATTATCATATTGTATTAAAGCCTATAATGTCTAACGAAAAGTAATATTAACACTCGACATAAATACTTAATCTGCTAATTATTTATTAGTTGAGTTGAATAATAATAATATTAAGTAATTAATTAAGACAAAAATAAAATGTAGTCATGAGAGATTTAAATTATTGAATACACTTTAAAAAGTAGAATTGTACTTCTCACAAAAGTTAATAACTGATTTGGTTTGTTTGTTTCTTTAACAAAGCCATATTGGGATATCCGCTGTGTCCACCGCGGGATATCGAACTCCGGATTTTAGCGTTGAAAGTCCTTAGACTTACTGCCATCCATCCGGGAACTTAAATAGCTGAGAAATCTCGTTTGTGAAGAGTAATAGCTAAACAAATCCTCTTGTATCTAATAAATTGTGAGAGTAAACAATGAAGAATAATTTAGGAGGAATGTTTATTTACTGGACTGCAAAACGTATACACTTTGAAATGGAAAGTGTCAGTTTTATTTAAACTTTAACCAGTCTGCGATCGCGGAGTCGAACCCGTCACCGAACCAGCCTGGGATCGTTATAACGTTGCGATCTGATATTGTTTAACTTGATATTTTGGGTTTTTTTTACACTGCTATACAAACTTACATTATAATTTAAACCAAAATTACCGAGAAAAAGTTATTTCACGATAAATGTTGCATATTACCTTAGATATAAAGTATCATTAATCAAACGTTCAATTACGAAATGTTTTGTTGAAATTCGTGCAAAGCTACTCGAGGGTTATCTGAGCTAGCTGTTCCTAATTTTGTAGCGATAGACAATAGGAAAAATAAATAACCAATATCACTTACCGCCGATTCTTGGGCTACTATTTATCAACGAACATTGGGATTTTACGTACGTACAAGAGTGGGTAATGTACAAAGCTTTGTTATAGTTTTTCCGTGCTAAGTTTTTGTTATAATTAAAAACTCAAATTTAAATAAATACATAAAGCAACTTTTTAGCTATAGGTACCACCCATAAAGGTTCCTAGTGTTTGATGGAAAGGGTCTTGGCCCCCTTGTATAAAAGTGTTGTAAAGTTAAAACAAATGCAAAGTTTGCAAGGATTTGTTGAATGCGACGCAAAGACATTTTCAAGATAAATATATATATATATATTTCGCCTTTAATTCCTTACTTTTGTATATAAAAGTAGTGATAATGCACAGGCTAACAATTGATATATATTTTTTTTATATAATACCCCTCTGCAGACCCTCTTAGAGGTTCAGAGAGGCCCGGACACTTCTATCTTTTGAGGCCCCTGACAACAATAAAATAAAAAGTGATGACGCATGAAAACAAAATAAAACAATCATTAGCCCAAAAGAAAAGTGAAACAAAATGTGAATATTTAATTTGTATATATAACTTGCAGCTCTAAGCTGAGAGTGTGTGTGCCACATTTTGTCTGATTGAGAGGCACATAAAGACAAGTCGCGAAACTTAACAAATGCAACAAAAAATTACAAGTGTTTAAATTTGAGGCCCCTTTGAACTTGAATCCCGGGCCAAATGACCCTCCTGCCCTCTCCCCTAATTAGCCCTATTCCTCTGTGGCTCAACGGAAAGTATGAACGCTTATAACGTTAAAAATCGGGATTCGACACCTGCGATGAGAAGATCAAAGAAAGCCCGTTGCCTAGCTACCTGTTTCAACAACAAGCAAAAATTCTTTGAGAACTAGTATGCTTAAATGTTCCTTTCATGTATTTAAAATCTTTACCGGTTAGAACTGATGAATAGATATTTAACTACAATATTTCTGTCATAGTCTGTAAGTCTGTATTAGTATGCTATTGTATTTAATTTAAGAATATTAGATGATTTGGCTAATGAATATTATTCCAATTTTCAGTAAGTATAACAATGTCTAATCATAGACCTTAATATGTTTCTACATGGCACTTTATTGGATTTAATGTGTTTGTTTATCTCATTTTATCATGTTCTTAGTGTTTCTAGATTAAAGTTCAGTTCTTTGAAATAAATTATAAGATAATCGTTTCTACAAATAAAACAATAGTTGTTGTCAGTTTTATAAACAAGAGCTGTGAGGTATTTACCATGCAGGGTTTATAAACGTTCAATAACGTCTTTAGGAAAAATAAACCTTGTTCGTAGTTGTTCTTTAAACACCATGTGCGTTTTTAAATTATGTCTTCATTTCTCTACTTTGATTATCTAAATTTACTCTTAGATTTATTTTTTACACCATTTGTATAAAACTACGTTAAGAAATTTAGTAATTACTTGCTTTATGCAATTTTAGTTGATTTGAGTACATTCCTAAAATTCGGGATAACTGCTCATTAAAAGACATAAATTATCGTTACTTATAATTTTAATAAAATTATTCATTAGTTGTCTTATGTAAGGTTCTGTTGCATATGAAATTCTTGCAAGGACGGCTAAGATGTTGGGTCTTACGTTTCTCTGAGCAAGAAGATGGGAATAAGGAGAAATGAAAACTATCACGTGGAGTAATAAATTTATTATTCATGGCTTGAGTTGTATAGAAAGATCTGGATTTGACGGTAGCCTGAGAATATGTTGGTTATTATTGTGTTACAATAACAATGAAGAATGGTGAGGTAGCATAATGTTTAAGTCTCTTGTAGTTTATTTGAGCTTGGTCCAATGGTAATAGTTAAAACAGAATGTGAAACTATACGTTGATTACATTGACGAAATTCTTTGAGAAAGGACCATACCGCTTTTCACATGGTATTCCACCTTGCTTTATTGCACATTGTATCCAGCATTTTGTTTACATATGTCTTGAAACTGTTTCGGCCAGCTAATAACACTGAAGTGAATCAAAATTAAAATGCTCTGAGACCTTTTTTGAATGACGATTATGGGACAGAAAGAGCAGTCTAAAACTTGACCATATTAGGACTTGCTTTTCATGAGAAGTTGTAATGAATCACACCACATTTTTAACAACAAGTGGTGGCAAGCATTAGTAACAAAGCCCAGGCAATGATTTATGACATTAAATTCTTGCCCAAGAAAATATTCCAGTCCTTTTGATAGCATGATGTGTAGGTAATACTAATTGAGTGACGTGCTAAGTGTTTTCAAGCATACGTTGGTTACAAAGCTTGTTAAAATTGATGTTCCTATATCTTTTATTTCTTTCTACAATTTCTGAAATATTAGTAGATATTGTAAGACAAAAGCTGTATTCAGTCATACACCATATTAATTAATACTTTGTTTTTTGCAATCTCGAAAAGATTCAGTACTAACACTAAACATACAGAAAGCAAATTTACAAGAAAAAAGCTATCCACACTTAATTTGACATATATTTTTATGTCACTATGCTTATTTTCGTTAATAAGATTTGAAATAACTCAATTTACAAACACATTTCTTAGAATGTGATAAAATTTCAATCATATCTTTTATATTATTCCAGTTTAGTTTTCTTATTCCAAGAACGTATATTATTACTGTGTGGGGGATGGTGTTGGTATAGTGGTTAATACTTTGGACTCATAGTCGAAAGGTTGCGTGTTTGAGGTTTGCCTGCATCATGTTGTTGTGTCCTTGACGAAGACACTTTATCCTAATTGCATAATGGATATCAGCGGGCAGCTGGGGGTTTAACTGCGACAGACTCTAATTTCTTTCAGGAAGTATGTCCTATCAGGCGCGAAAAGGACTGACTTACTTTCTTGCTTTTTATTATATTACTGCCACTTTAATATTCTTTTCAATTTGCATTTTTGAGCTATTTGCAGGATGTATTTAAACAACTTCAAATTAAAGTTATAGAGCTAAATTATTGTACAGGCTTAAAACTTCACAATTTTATAGTTAATACTTCACGTATTAACAAAGAAACACACTCTCTCCTCTCTTCATCGTGGTATTTTAATCTTCATATTTCACATATATATATCATGGGTTTGGCTAGGTTTGTTTTTTTCAAAAGTGATAATACTGTTCTGAGAATAATTTCTAAAATGGATAATCACTGGTTGCTGTTATTCATGATGAATTTATTCGAATTTCAGCAGATGAAGTCTTAGATGAATGCTTGAAAACCGAGATGTTGGAAACACTACAGAGGCAATTTGTACAAAAAAGTTGAAATGGAAGTTTTGGAAAAGATAAAATTACTTAAAATCCTTTTAAAATACGAAGCATGACCACTCTCGATATAACATAGTGATGACAGTTTTCGTGGGGGAAAAATATCAACTTAACTCACAAACTGACACTAAATTATAGTTTGATTAACTTCAATAAATTTAAGTTGATTATTAATAAAAATATAAACCTGAAATTCAAAAACTAATTTGGATAAAAACTAAGATAAAAATTATTTAAAACAGTAATATAGAAAATCACAGAAACAATACAATCAAAAGCCATAATTTAGGCCCAATTCAGATAATAGATGATGAACCCAGAACTATAGACAGAAAACTAAATGACGATCAAAGATGTGAAATTATTTAAAAGAGGACCCAAACAAATAATAAATATTGAATGTCTATAAAATGATGTCTAACTCCCCAGACGAGACGCTTTACGAAGGAAATCTATTATATTCACATCAAAAAGGAGACAAAGTTCTCTGATAATGGCTTATGTATTCTGAGTCTTCAAATAATATGTTTTGCTTTTGCTGTGTTCGTCTTGAAAAACGTAATAACGCTGTTTCTAGAGGCAGCTTGAATGCGTGAAAATGTCTTTCTTCTAGTCTGAAAGAACATGAATATTCACTGCCATGTGTACAACATGGAATCATTGCAGAACTTGAGAGTATGGACCAGAGTCGATAAAACTACAGACAGTGTCAACATGGAATCATTGCAGAACTT